CCAAAAAGATACGCCTACTGTATAATCTTATATATAAAGCTGAATGTCTGTTTGTATGTATGTATGTATGTATGTATGTATGTCTGTATGTCTGTCTGTGTGTACGTATGTTCCGAATAGAAAATTCCATTTCTGAACCGATCCGGACCAAACTTGGCACACATACACTTCGGGCCCCGGCGCGTGTCATAGGCTACTTTTCGTCATCGATCGATATCGATTTTATCGATTTTTATCGATTTTTTTGCTGAGTTCACCTACGGGGCTGGGAGTTGGCACAGGGGGGTAATCGAGCATGGGGATTCCGAATACAATATTGGTTTTCAGGATTATCGATTACTTTTATCGATTTTATCGATTTTTTTGCAAAGTTTGAGCTACGGGGCTGGGAGTTGGCACAGGGGGGTAATCGAGCATGGGGATTCCGAATACAATATTGGTTTTCAGGATTATCGATTACTTTTATCGATTTTATCGATTTTTTTGCAAAGTTTGAGCTACGGGGCTGGGAGTTCGCACAGGGGGGTAATCGAGCATGGGGATTCCGAATACAATATTGGTTTTCAGGATTATCGATTACTTTTATCGATTTTATCGATTTTTTTGCAAAGTTTGAGCTAGGGGGCTGGGAGTTGGCACAGGGGGGTAATCGAGCATGCTGATCATCCCCAAGGGGGGTGATCAGCATGCTCGAACACCCCTGTGCCAAATTCCAGCCCCTAGCTCAAATTTTCAAAAAATCGATAAAATCGATAAAAGTAATGGACGATCTTGAAAACTAATATTGTATTCGTAATCTGCATGCTCGATTACCCTCTGTGCAAACTCCCAGCCCCGCAGGTCAAACTTTGCAAAAAAATCGATAAAATCGATAAAAGTAATGGACGATCCTGAAAACTAATATTGTATTCGGAATCCCCATGCTCACTTCCCCCCTGTGCCAACTCCTAGCCCTGTAGGTGAACTCTGCCAAAAAATCGATAAAATCAATAAAAGCAATCGATAATTCTGAAAACTAATATTGTATTCGGAATCCCCATGCTCACTTCCCCCTGTGCCAACTCCTAGCCCTGTAGGTGAACTCTGCCAAAAAATCGATAAAAATCGGTAAAATCGACATCGATCGATAACGAAAAGTGGACTGTGACACCCGCCGGGGCCCGAAGTGTATGTGTGCCAAGTTTGGTCCGGATACGGCGGAGCCGGGTAAGCCAGCTAGTCTTATATATAAAGCTGAATGTCTGTTTGTCTGTATGTCTGTATGTATGTACGTATGTTCCGAATAGAAAATTCCATTTCTCAACCGATCGGGACCAAACTTGGCACACATACACTTCGGGCCCCGGCGGGTGTCATAGGCTACTTTTCGTATCGACCGACATCGATTTTATCGATTTTTTGCAAAATTTGAGCTACGGATCTGGGAGTTGGCACAGGGGGGTAAGTGAGCATGGGGATTCCGAATACAATATTAGTTTTTAAAATCGTGCATTACTTTTATCGATTTTATCGATTTTTTTGCAAAGTTTGAGCTACGGGGCTGGGATTTGACACAGGGGGGTAATCGAGCGTGCTGATCACCACCGGGGGGTGATCAGCATGCTCGATTACACCCCTCTGCCAAATTCCGGCCCCCTAGCTCATATTTTGCAAAAAATCGATAAAATCGATAAAAGTAGTGCACGGTTTCGAAAACTAATATTGTATTCGTAATCGGCATGCTCGATTACACCCCTCTGCCAACTCCCAGCCCCGTAGCTCAAATTTTGCAAAAAATCGATAAAATCGACATCGATCGATAACGAAAAGTGGACTGTGACACCCGCCGGGGCCCGAAGGGTATGTGTGCCAAGTTTGGTCCAGATCGGTTAAGAAATGGAATTTTCTATTCGGAACATACGGCGGAGCCGGGTAAGCCAGCTAGTTGTTAATAATTAAGCTCCAATGAAGTCTTCGAGAATCCTTAGGCACCATTTTGTAGAGCTGGCTTCAACGTAGATTTGCGATTTGGAGCGGAATTCCGAGCTCTCCATTACTCTAAGATTACGATAGGAACTTTGAAGGATTCTGGACCATGAAAGGCCATATTTTGCCTCAATGAGGAAACAAAACAATGTGAAAACTCTCACAATGTTCTAATTAGAATTGCTAAACCTAAGTGTGAAGTTTGCAATTCGTAATGTTTCATGAAAAAGTTATGCGAGGTAAGCAATAGCGGCCATTTTTTTGGATGTTTTCAAAAAGTGCGGTTATACCGTTTCGAAAGCTTCGTAATTTTGTACAAAGTGGAGTACTGAGCTCCCTAGTACACAAGTTTCCACTTTTTTTGAAAATTTTCGAAACAGCACTTTTTTCCACAGTGACACCATATGACTGAAGTGGAAGACGGCCCTTCTGAACCCACGGTAAGTTACAGTAATGAGAAACTAGGGCGCGAGCGTCTGCGCTGCGTGTGACGCCGGACGACTCGCCTTCTACAACGGACGAGTTTCCTGTCATTATCGAAAACCGTTAACTGCTGTGCACTACTGCACACTATGCACATTTCCATCTTATTCTGTTTCCCTGCTGTTAGTATTTTCCAAAAGGGTCTACTTGTATTAGACCATCTTATATTCCAACTATGCTATTGCTATATATTCTAACTATGCCACCGCTACAGAGATCTGCTGCTCATCGTGAAGATGACATGATAATCTATCAACAGTGGTTCAGGTAAGGCATACCTTGTACATTCCTGCTGTTTTATCTGATATTTTACTTTGAACTTACTTATTCTTTTGTATATCTAGTACTTGTGTTGTGTCATTCGTTTCATCTATTCATGGTATTCGCTGCTGATTGATCAGAATCTGCACATACCTACTCATTCTCTCCACTTATCACTTGGATAGAGATCTAGACCTTTAGACCGGTTTTCATGAGTTTATGAAATATGAACCCAGTGTAGAAGGCTAGATAATCCAGGTCTCGTTACTCATTGAGACAGTCAAGGTGATCCAGATGACTTATTTGTGAGTTTTCTTACCTTCATCTGTTGTTTTATTACGATTTAGCTTTGTATGTAACAGTCCACTGCTGCTTACAGAAGCAGGCAATAGTTGTACGATATTTAATCTGTTTTTGTATAAAAATATGTTTCGATTTCATTGTGGTTCCATGCATCATTGCCTTGCGAAGCTCATGAACTCAACCAGACGTTCATTGTGTAAGAGTTACACTAGCTTTATAAGCTAAAATGCTAAGCTATTCGACATGATACATCGTTGTAGGTGGCCAGCTACCGTATCCCTGACCTTTCATGCTTGGAAGTGAGAATAATTCCCTAAGGCCTTTGCTGAACGGGTATAAAAGGATGGCGAGCTTGTAGTATTCACCCTTGTTACGTTTACGTTTACAAGCTTTCCAATGTCATTCCATCGTGTTCCAAACAGTTCTCATAAGAACTACAGAGTTACTTCTGCAACTCAATCTTCAACTCCGCGACCGCTTCTACCGCGCCCATCTCTAGCTCATCCGGACACCCGCTCCCTGCCTTTATTCTCGCGTTCATCAGCTTCTGTCATGTCCGTTCGTCTTGTTTCCGCTTCTCCTATGCCGGTCCGCCTTGTTTCCGCTTCTCCTATTGCCGTTTCTGTCTCTGCGTCTTTTGCTTCCGCTCCTTCTTCCACTCGTATGCGTCCAACTGCTTCTGCTTCTTTGCCGGCACAATTAGTTTCTGCTCCTCCTCCGCCTTTCCGCCTACTTTCTGCGCCTGCTAACCCCTCCAGTTCCGCAGCTTCCACACCAACACACCTTGTTTCAGCTTCTCCTATTGCTACTGCTACTGCTTCTTTGCGTACAGTTTCTTTCTGCTCCTGCTCCACCTGTTCACCTAGTTTCCGCGCCGGCCAACCTGTCCAGTTCCGCAGCTTCTTCTACACCAGCACGCCTTGTTTCTGTTTCTCTTGCCCGAAAACGCCCTGACTGTGCAAATCCTGAGCTTCGTAAACTCTTGACAAACTCTAAAGCTCCTAATTCTCTGCAGCCATGCCCTTTTCCTTCAAAGCTAGCGCGTCTTGTTCAACTACCTCGTAAACAAGCTAATCCATGTCCTCTTTCACCTGCACTTCCCTGTTGCACTGCTCGCGCAACGTCCCCTACGCCTTCTCCTCAATCGCTCGTGTTGAACGGCTACTCTTCTGCGCCAACTCGCGAAGCTTCACCCACGTCGCCTTCTCTTTTGCCTCCTACTTTAGACGACTACTCTTCTGCGCCAACTCGCGAAGCTTCACCCATGTCGCCTTCTCCTTTGCCTGCTACTTTAGACGACTATTCTTCTGCGCCAACTCGCGAAGCTTCACCCATGTCGCCTTCTCCTTTGCCTCCTACTTTAGACGACTACTCTTCTGCGCCAACTCGCGAAGCTTCACCCACGTCGCCTTCTCCTTTGCCTCCTACTTTAGACGACTACTTTTCTGTGCCAACTCGTGAAGTTTCTCCTGCGACTCCTCCTCGTTTGCCGCCTAGATTATATTGCGATGCTTCCGCATCAGCTCCAGCTTCACCCAATTCGCCTTCGCCTTCTCCTTCGCCTCCTAGGTTAGGAAGCCATCCTTCTGCGTCCACTCGCGAAGCTTCTCCTGCGCCCCCTCCCATAAGCCAATTTTCTTCATTGTTATCCACTAACACATCATCTATTTCAGGAGTCCAGAGGTTCCAAGGACAGTACCAGGTAGTAAGTATGGGAGACTCCGTGTATTGACTTACAAAATTCCAGGTAGAAGGCTTGCTATGCTTTTGCATTCCACAAGCGAAAGCAAGGCTGTTTGGTCTACGAGTGCATCTCCTGTTGCAAGGCAAGACGGCATGTGCAGATAGATGTAAGCCATAACAACAACGACGCCTCCCATTGTAAGGATGCAATTTAGGTTATTGGTGACGATTTTCTGGAGGATCCCTGCGCCCTACCACACAACTGCCTGCCAAAAAAGGCTAAGAAAAATTTTGTTGAACGATTCATGTATAAAAAATTACAAGAAATCAGAAACGATCCCAATTTTGCAGATGCGGTGGTATGGAAGGTGTGGCAAGATATCCTCGACGCTTTTTCACATATGCCCAATTTTAGTAAGTAGGCTTAGCGGAGAAGACAACGCATGAGAATATCATTTTTAGGTTTAGAGGAAGTGCGCGAGATAATGGACGAATACCACCAAGAAGGTTACTGCAAGCGCAAGAACTATATTGAAGTCAGTTGCCTTTGCTTGCCATGGTCAAGTAAAGAAGAAAGAATTGTGTTCAGGAGTGTTCAGATGCACGATCGCCCGATGGCTTCTCTTGATGATGTACCAAATTTGAGAACGCTTAAAGACAGAACAACTTTTCTTCAAGTCTCCTCTCCTGGACTGTATATATACTACTCGAAAACGACTATTCAGGTCTGCTTGCACCTTCGCAACATCCCCTTGACATGTTCTTTTCAGAAAGTCGTCGAGAACGGGCTGACCGCCCTGATAGCGGATGGTATCCACAAGCTACCACCGAAAGCTTTTGAAGATGATGGACAACTTTGCATTGTCCATGGAGTGTGTAACGGAGGAATTGGTAAGACACTTTGATTGACTCGGGACTGCCAAACACTCGTAAGCCGTTTAGATGTTCCTCTAGTGCATGTATTGACAAGAAGAAAGAACGAATCAGTGCACGACAAAGTTTTCGGAATGATCAAGCAGGAGCTAACAGAATTACGTGTAGACTGCAGAAGACTAAGAATTATAATTGATTTTGAGAGAGCCGCTTTGGTTGGAATAAAAGTGAGAATTTTCACAATTAACTTGTAATCCTCTCTGACAGCCATCTACTCTAGAACCACTTTCCGGAAGGCTGCGTAGAAGGGCGCAGCTTCCACCTGGTACAGGCTGGAATCGCAAGGCGCTGTCATTAGGACTGCGTTCGGAAATGAAAGAACATCTAGTGAGGGATTGGTGGATGACTCTCAAGGGCCTCATTTTCCTTCCCCCACGTCTCCATCGTAGAGTACCAGCGCTACACGGGCCACCAGTACCACCAACGCATTCAGCTTATCACAAACGCGTGAGCTTTCTAGCTTACTTGCAGGAAAACTGGTATGCTGGGCCCTTCAAGAACATCTGGTACAAGTGGGGGAAGTTTGAACTTAGAACAAGCAATATAGCTGAATCGTACCACCGGTTAGTTCGCTTGCAGATTTGCAGAATCTTCCAAAAGCTAACCGTTGCTTTCAGAGTCCTCCGCGTTCTAATCCACGCCCCTGTCCGGAAAACCCTGAAGTGCTTGCACGGGGCCAACAATCGTGCCATGTGCACCCTTCGAAACCTAGAGAGGGTGAGTAGGTAGCAGTTAGAAATGTATTCACTAAAAGCCGTTTTAAGGGTATCGCTCGAAAACTTCGACAAAAGGACATTGTAAGGAGAGAGAAAATTGACAGGTGCATGCGAGAATACCGCGCACGCCTAGAAGACTTTCCCCTCAATTGAGCCAATAGTGAATTTTTGCAGACATATATCTCGCTTTGTATCTAACAAAGTCATTTGATGTTCACTTGTGTTCAAAGCATACTCACAATTGTTTTTTCCTACATTAATTTCTTCGTACACCACCTTACCTACAGGGTGTCTCAAAAGTCTTTAAGGCTAATATTTCCTCAGGTGCAACTGTACGAAGCAACATTGTCACATGAAATTGAACAGCAATCTTGTGAAGAACCTACAAAATCATAAGGTACACTCAGTTTTCGGAAAACCCTTATTTGGCCTTCACAGAAGCCCTCATACTCTTGCGGAACGCACGCACCGTGGCAGACAGATAGTTGACGTCGAGAATGTTTCACACCTTCTGAAGCGTTCCAGACCGCCTGAAATTTAGTGTGGAACTAAGCAAGCCTTGTTTTCCTTGACTGATCGCAAAGAAAACTCAAAGGCTGTTGAGCCGACGATTGAAAGCAGGTTGATCGAATCACGCCTGTGAGATTCAACAAAAGTGTCAAAATGTAGCAATCAGGTTTTGAAGAAATCGAGAAAACAGCAATTTTGGTGTGCATGGAATGTCTTGAAAACGATGTTTCAGTATCAAATGCAGAGCCTACAGCTAGAATTAGTGACTCAAACTGAGTTGATGTTGGAGTTTTCAGCTTTCTCAGATTTTTGTTTCCGAGTTCTTTTTCTTCTCATTGGCACGGCACTACTTTTGGTGTTTGTATCTTAATCCTGCATTAATGAATAGAGACTTGATTAGTTTTGCACTGTAAACGTAGAGTGAAGCTGGCTTTACAATGTGCAAATCTAGATTCCACAAAAACTTCAAAGGCAAAAGAGCTACTATAGATGTTTGAGTAAAGGGTACGTTAACATTGGGTCGTCCTCAAAATCATAGTATTGTTTGCTCCAAAAACAATATTTTGAGAAGGTAAAGCGCAAACGGTAAGATTTTCTTAAGGATTACTAAAAACTAGACGAAGTACTTATACGCAAAATTTGACTGAAAAGCGAGGAATACTAACAAAGTTACTACGTTGGGAAGTTAGGTTCAAAGACTTTTGAGACACCCTGTCTGATAAGTCCCTACCCCCTTGCGAAGTTTTGCCGAAATTCTGAGGTTATAGATTTATGGGCTTTATAAAAGTAGAACAGTGCCACTCCTTCTTTCAGAGTCATGTCGCCTAAACACTTCCTCGTCTAGTGATGGTACCATTCATCACATGCACACCCACACGTGCTTTTTTCTACATCAATTTTTTTATTACACTACCTAACGGTCGACTTTTCTTCACCAAATAAGAGAAAGAAAACTTTATTAGAAAGTCCAGAATGCGACCCCGGGCAATCGCATTCTGGACCGTAATAATAATGTGATGATACAAAGCATAACATTAATAAACATAAACAAGAACAACAACAAAATTAGTTGATGAAGTGCAACAAATGTTAAAATTTACTTTTGCGGAGTTGAGCTTCTGTCCATCCTTTTCTTCGAAAATTCCAAAAATCCCCAAATTGTTAGACCCAGTCATGTTAGCAGAAAAGATTGCGCCATTCAAGCTTCAGTTTCGACTTTAACAAGTTAGATCAATTGCTTCGACAATTCTACATTCTAACGTCGTCTTAAGAGTTCTTCAAAAAGGTATGGACAGAACTCTCGACCCAGTGACACAACATTGAAAAATAAAAGACCACTGACATAGTTAGTTTGAACAGATTACAATATAAAACTTACAGAAAAAGTTAACAACATAACATTGAATTAGTAGTCGAAAGAATACTATAACAACAAAATAACAAAAAAGACAAAAAAAAAACAACATTGCATCAAGAGTCATAAAGAACTAAAACAAGGATAAGTTAGGGAACAAAACATATCAAAATACTAACGAGATAATAATAAGTATCAATAACAAAAAAACAAAACACAACAAACCAACTATTAGAAATAATGCAAAAACAAAACAATAACAATAAAAAATTAGTCAAGAACATAAAATAAAAGAAACCAAGTGGTGGATTGTTAGTACGGCGACGTGGCGCGGCCAGTAGCTTCGCCCTTAAAAGAAAAACTGGAGAAACATAGCACTGGAAATGAAAATTCAAAACATAATCGTTGAACATGAAAACATAATACATAAACAACAAACAAATAATAAAATCCTCACCTATTTGGAATTGGTTTGTCTCATATCAAAATCTCCTAACCATTTAAGAAAAAGGTTATGTTAGTGTGGAGTTGTGATGAGAAAGTCAATTTCATCACAACTCTACGTTAACATAACCTTTTTATGTTATGTTAGTAACATAACGTAAAAAGGTTATGCCACTAACATAACAGTGTCACTGTCATAGTATAAATCATAAAAATCACAAACATTACAACACCTTATAAGAATAAAGAAATTAAACAAAAGGACAACAAAATGAAAACACGAGAGTATGGAACCTAGCGAAAAAAGTAGGGCTCCCGCTTCGGTCTTCCAAAAATGTCGCTCTTTGTCTTCCAAAATCGACCTGCCTAAAATGTCAAAGTTGATGTGTATCAACGACAAACAAACAGCGAGCTAAACCGCGTTAAAAACAGGCATTATCAACGATAAATGAGCACAAGGTTAAAAATAACAGAAGAAACGCGATTAGAACGAAAAAATGATAAAACACAACAATTACAGTAAATAAAAAATAGTAAGTGTGATTGTCAATTCTGATTTCAGGCCCAAAAACTTGTTCTACGTGTGGCGTTATTAAAGGGCCGAGCTGATTGTACGCAACACGCCGAATGAGTAACTCGTCCGCATCCGCGAGGCGCGTTGTCAGGTCAGTCGCCCGCTGCAGCGGAACGGCCAATCACGGTGTGACCTCCCGCGCGCGGTGACCTATCACGCTTGTCATTACTGTAGAGGGTTCAGAAAGGCCTACACCCACTGAAGTTTCTACTGCAATACTACAGTAGTGAAGAGGTCGGTGATTCGCTCTATACTGTATATCTAAGTTGAAGCCAGCTTTACAAAACGGCACCTAAAGCTTTTCGGAAGATTTCATTACAAGAAAGTTATTTACAATCAAACAGAAGGCACATCTTTTTGGGACACCCTGTATATACAGTAATTATTGCATAGTAGAAGATCCTCGCGCAGCATATGAGTGAAATTGCAATAAGTTTGGGCTTCTTGGGTTATCGATAAAAATTGGGGAAAGATTCATACGTGATGTTCTCTCCATATTGAAAGATCATTTCGGGACAAACCTATGCTATTCGACCTTTGACTGATCGACTGAGCGGAGAAGAAATGCAGCAATATTGTTGTGAAGTAAAAATGGTTTATTTTTAAGACAGACCTAATAAGCTATGCTCTGTCCCACTTAGATATCTCACCGCCATATCTTCCTTCAAATTGGACATATTCTGAATCTAAGGGCAACGCTTGACTCAACTCGGCGACGCACAAGTCTATTTTACAGAAATGCCCGTTCAAATGCGATAAGCGGTCAAATTTCACTAAGTTTCTAAATTTTGCTTGAAGACAGTGTCTAGGCAAATTCGGGCGCATGCATTTCTCAAGTGGAAACTGATGAGTGGATACTAACTAAAACACTGCCAAAGCACAAATGATTTATTCACGGCTGGGAAATCTAGCCTCAAACACTCCACTCCTGAGCCGTGACCGTAACTCGCGACAGAGTTAAGATGGATCCGAGCGCGAAATACTGTGAATGTGAGCGAAGTCATTTTCTGGTCCCGGTCACGGCGCTGGCACGAGGTTGGGGACGGGTTTCTCCGCCGAGAATGCATTCGCGCTGCCGCTTGGGCGCCTTAATTAAGCCTTAATCTTACGATAGCTCGGGCGAGTACGAGATGCATGCAAGATAGAAACGCGGATTCGTTGCGGGACCCTGCGCTCATGACGGTGTGCGCTATGCGTGCTCTGGCCTTGCAGATCGAAACTGCTGTGCGGGCGGAATTCGGGCTTATCGTAAGATCCGGGCCATTTTTAGAAAAAAAAATTCTTCTTGGTAGACCCCCTTCTTCGCTCCGAACTTCAGACATCGCTTAGGTAGGGGATCTACTTTGAGATCACCACGAAAACCGGCATCATTTTTTTGCTGGGACGCTGCCTTTAAGGTAGATTGCTCAGTGTGCAACAAATAGGCACGGAGTAATCTAAGCATAAATTCAAAAACGTGGAACAGGACAGCCTACCGCATTTGAGCGGGCACTTCTATGTATCACAAATGCGCCTCACCCAGCTGATTGGAACGGTGCTCTTGAATTCAGGAGTCCTCTACTCTGAAGT